GTCGTGTTACCTGCTGATCTGTGTAGCTCTTCCCCAAATAGCTGCTTACCTGGCCTGTCACTCTCCATCCCTTTATCCTGCTTTATTTTCCTTCTTAGCCCATAGCAACACCTGACATACTCTGTTTTGGTTTGTTTGATGCCTTTCTCCCTTCGCTAAACTCCTTGAAAGCAGGGACTTCATCCATTTTGTTCCCTGCTCTATTCTCCAGTGCCTGGAGCAGTGCTCGGCACAGAGGCGGCCCTCCAGAAATGTTTGCTGAATGTTTTGTGAATGAACGAATCTGTATGCTTTATCAGCGGTCAGATAGCACAGTGGCTAGGAGCAGAGGCTCAGGGCCAGGCAGCCTTGGTTTGCGGCTGGTGGTACCCATAGGGCAAGTCACTCTACCTCTTTGTGCCTGATTTTCTCATGTGTATGATGGGGATGGTGACCCACCTCCCAGTGTTCTTGTGTGGATTAAGTGAGTTATTATAAAGGAAGCTTTGAGAATTGAGCCCAGCCTGTACTAAGTACCATTCAACCCCTGTTGCCATTACTGTTAAAATTATCATCCTCCCTTCCTGTTTGCATTTGTGACTAGAATTACAAACTGAAACTTAGATTATGCAGAAGTTTCCTTTAAAGAACCTTCAACATTTTTCTCCGTTTATGACTTTGCTGCAGGTTCTCTACCTACGATTCTACCTGCCAAATTGCACAAGAGATTGCTGAGAAAATTCAACAACGAAATCAGTATGAAAGAAATGGTGAAAATACAACCAAGGTAAAACCAGGAATGAGTACTTCAAATGATTTGTTTGAGCTCTGAGGTCTGAAAACCCTCCCCTTTCTGACTGTGTGTATGTGTGTGTGTGTGTATAATGGCCTTTATGCTTACACATGTCAAATTGACGTTACAACCAATCAGTTAATAGTTATTTAATCACTAGGACTAAATGAAGCATGACATCTCTATAATTTCTCCTACTTTACCTTAAAAAGTGTCTAACAATTTCATAGTGTAGTTCCAAGGTTGGCACACTTTCCCCCAGATGGTAAATCTGTCAGACTTTGCAGGACAAGAGGCCAAGTTCTCACTTCTTTGAGTACCCATTCTCGACAAAAGGATAATAAACTTTTTTGGTGTTTTACATATTACATTTAAAAATGTAAAAAATCATCCTTCGCTTGTGGGCTGTAAAAAACAATGGTGGGATTTGGCGAGGAAATATGGTTTTTAGAAAACCATGAATCCATGCCAATACTTTTGATTCTAATCCAACATTCACAGGTTTCTTTATAACTTCCCCATTCTAAATTAGTATTTTCCTTCCTTCTCCCGCAGTGAGAACCCAGGTTTCCAGAAGCATTGATATGTTTTTGCTCATTTGGTGTCTCTTAGAGTTTATAGAAAGTAGTTTCAGAATCATTACACAAGGGCCACTACAGATAATAAGTAAAGTTTGAGTTTGTGTCTTTATTATTATTTTTTAAAATTTAGAATATCCCCCTAAGGATACTGAGGTTATTCTGTTCTAAAGCTATTAGAATTGTTTCTTTTTTTTCCTGTGTCTTATGCTCTCCTTTGTATCTATTGATATTCATTTTCAGGGTTTGCTTTTCTTCCCTACCCTTGCTGATACAATTTTTAATACGTAGAATATTTACATAGTTCAAAGGTCAATATTATATACAGAGGTTTTACTCAAAGTCTTGTCCCCGTCCCACTCTTTTCCATGCCTTCTTCACCTGCTCCTTAGAGGTAACCTTTTTTAAAAATTAATTTCTCATTTATTCTTCCTGTGTGACTTCCTGCAGAAATAGGCATTCAGGTGTGTGTGTGTGTGTGTGTATGTGTGTGTGTGTATTCTCATTTCTGTTCCTTTGACACCAAAGTTACTCTTTTGTATCTTGCTCTTTTCACTTGATAATATATCACAGAGATATTAATGCACTGAGATCTTCTCAGTTTTTCTTAGGGCCTTATAGCCCTCTATTGTGTGTACTCTAGTTCATTAACCTGTCTCCTAAGAATGGGCATTTAGAGTGTTTCCAGTCTTTTGCTGTTATGAATAATGCTGCAATAAATAGCTTTGTGATTTTTTTTTGTATTTGTATTTGTGGAGGTTCTTTTAAGGGTGAATTCTCAGAACCAGGGCATATGTGATTTTTTTTTTTTTTACCTGTTGCCAAATTCCCCTCCACAGGAGTTGTCACCTTTGGCTTCACAGCCTGGCCAGCAGAGGGCGTAGTCAATTTTCTGAATTTTTGCCAACCTGATAAGTGAGATAAAGTATTTTAGTGTAGTTTTATTTTCTTCATTTTTTAAATTGAAGCATAATTGACTTACAATATTATATTAGTTTTGGGTATACAGCATAGTGATTTGATATTTCTTTTTTCTTTTTTTTTTTTTTGCCGTACGTGGGCCTCTCACTGTTGTGGCCTCTCCCGTTGCGGAGCACAGGCTCCGGACGCGCAGGCTCAGCGGCCATGGCTCACGGGCCCAGCCGCTCTGCGGCATGCGGGATTTTCCCGGACCGGGGCAGGAACCCGTGTCCCCTGCATAGGCAGGCGGACTCTCAACCAGTGCGCCACCAGGGAAGCCCAATATGCATTCTTAAAATCACTTATGCCATTGAACATCTTTTCATATATTTATTGGATGTTTGTATTTCTTCCTTTATGAATTGCCTGTTATATACATGTCCTTAACCTAGCTTATTATTTCTTAATTTCCAAGTGTTCCTTATATATATGTTAACTAAGCTTTGATTAAGCTTTGATCTGGCATATTTGGTGCAAATATTTTTTCTATTAATTTGGATTTTGATTTTATAAATGACTTTAAAATATATATATACACTTTTTAAAAATTGTATTTGAAATTATCACTATTTTTATTTATGGCCTCTTCTTATAGGAGAAGGGGAGATACTGCTCAGAAAGGCCTTTCACACCCAGGGATTATAGAAGTACTTTGCCTAATTATCTAAATTTTCGTTAAGCTTTTCTCCTCTTTTTTATCTTTTTTTAAAACACATAAATCTTTGTAATATTTGAAATTCATTTCGTGTATTGTAGGCATCTAATTTTTTCCCATTTGCTAAATTATTAATCCCCCCCAAATATGAAATAGTCCATATTTCATTCACTAAGTTCTTACACAACTGCAGTTTCTGGACCTTCTGTTCTGTTGCACTAACGAAGCCATTGGTAACTGCCAGGATTATACTCCTGTAGTTTTTTGTAAAGATTTAATATCTAATTGTTTAAGGCCCCCTTAGTTACACATATCCATGATCTTTCTATATTTCCTTTCATTTATCCTCCTTTTAGAGCAATTCTGCATAGCTTTATTAAAAAGAATTTTGGTGTCTTCCCTGGTGGCGCAGTGGTTGAGAGTCTGCCTGCCGATGCAGGGGACACGGGTTCGTGCCCTGGTCCAGGAAGGTCCCACATGCCACATGCCGTGGAGCGGCTGGGCCCGTGAGCCATGGCCGCTGAGCCTGCGCGTCCGGAGCCTGTGCTCCGCAATGGGAGGGGCCGCAACAGTGAGAGGCCCGCGTACCGGAA